GTTTTTCTTCATTACACATTCAAGCCGTCTCCAAGCATTATTAGTCTCAAAGTGGGTTCCTCGTCATCGAATTTGTCAATTAATATAACGTAATGTTTTGTTTTTCTGTTACATGTTTTATTTCTCCGAGTTCATTAAAAACATCTAATTTTATTCTTCCAAAACGTTTTGTATGGGAATTGCAGTTACAAATGAGTTAATTCTATATCATACAAAAAATTCAAATCCAGAACAAAAGTGCCTGCTTTTGTTTGAAAGTGATTTGTTCATTAGAATAATTTTGACAACATTTACGTGTTTCAGGTGTGCAACATCGAATTCCCAGTTTGAAGTTTGTCGTTCCGGTAGGTCTTCATTTATTCCAGTAGAAGATATCGCTAATCCAGGAGGTAACATGTTCCCTCTGTGGGCCAATACTTTTATCCTGGTGACTTTTCTGGCAGTGTTTCGAATAATGGGCTATCTAATATTGAGATTCATTCATAAACCAAAGTGATTTGTGTATCATTTCATAGAATACGTCAGTGTGCATAAAATGTTTAAAACTGTGAAAAAAACAAGAAACAAGAGAAAAATATTAAAATTACTGAAAAAAACTGTATAAAACCATAAGGCCAGAGGCTACTTTTATGTGAGATTTTTTATTGATGTGCCAAATTGTGGCTACAGAATCGCCCTAACTATATACAAAGTAGCAAGCAAGTAGCCCTGAAACCTGTTGTAACCAATCAATAGGGAATGGACCATTCACTCCTTTCCTAGAGCAAGTCTGTGATTTAGTTACAATAAATTGAGACGAAGAGACATACTGCTCGTGAAACCTGAAGTAATAGGACTTCATATAATTCACATGATGTTTAACTATTTTTGACAAGAAAACGTAATTCTTATTCTGCTTTCTTTAATGTCACGTCTGGTGTTCATCTTAACATGGAGTAGCTGAAATTATTCTCAGTCAAGGAAATAAAAAACTATTCTGAAAAAAAACTCTGCAGGACAGTGTTGAAAAATATTATAGGCCTAATACTAATGTCTTATGACAACTCTAATTAATTATATTTTTAGCTTAGTTTTCCAAGTGCAGTTAGTGCTTGGGTATTTAAACAAGTGTATATGGCATTTTGATTAATCTCCTGTGTAAACTGTAGTCACACTTTATGTACCTACTTTGTCATTTACCTGTTACATTCGTTATATATAATAGTTAAAGTTTGTATTTCATGCTCAAAAAGCTTATACATAGTTCAAAATTACATAATGTAAAAAAAAAACTTTTCTGTCAACACAGCTTATTCTGTAAAGCTTAATACTCAACTCCAAAGCAAAAGCTTGCAACTTTACACAAAAATGATGCGAATTCATGTCTCACCTTATATTATTAATCAAGGCTGAGTACTAAATCTTGATTAAGGTAATTTCAGTATTAAAAACTGACTTCAACTAAACATACTAAAAACAAAACCCCTGTACAAGTTATTCCCTTCAACTTTGCAACTACTGTATGATTTTACATTTTAAGTTTACAATAAGTTTCCATCAGAAATATAGTGGTTTGTTCACAACGTATCTTAACAATTTACAAATCGAATCACCTTCTTTTCTTTTCGACTATGTTATTCGAAAGAAGTTTGTGAACACGGCTTTATTTCGCTCTTGTAGTCCTAAATACATGCTGTAGGACTAGTATTTGCATGTCACAAATGGAAGTATGAAGCCACATTGGATGAAGTATCTTTTACTTAAATGTCTGCAACAGTGCGGCAATTTATTATCGTTCTGCAAGTGATATAATATTTTAAAATGTCGCAGAACATATAGTGAAAGTTTTCCAATATTTTAGAGATGTGGCGGGTCAAAGATATAGTTGTAAGTTAAAAATCAAGAAATCCAACAAATATGCCATGACAAACTATTTGTACTACCAAACTAACACGCTGACACTACTGTTCTGCGAGAAAATACCTTTTGCACAGACCGGATGTAAATAAAGTATGGTTCCATTCAATTAAAGCATCTAACTACATATTCAAGTCAACACGATATTCATCTGTAAGTTTTAAGTATAAACAAATATTCATGTTATGCCATCAAAAGATCTTTCCTATGAAATTCTGTGGTTTGGGTTGCTTAAAAGAGCTCTTGGACATCGTCATCAGCGTACGGTTCATGGAGTTTGGGAAGCACGTGAAGAGGAGTGGAACAACATTGGTCTCACTATATTTCAAAAAGTCTACTTGAAGAGGAAATTACATTGCAATAGTTCATAACCAGAGCTAATAGAACACCACTGGCGTTGAAAACAGGAACTATAAGGATGGGCCATTCATCCATATATCGCTATCACAGAGATGGAACTATGAGCTATAAGTTTGTACTTGAAAAAAACAACAACTCAGAGACATTCTATAAGCTGCTGTGCCGCTGCTAAAAATACAGTAGTTAAAAAGACATAAAATGTTTCGTCAATGACTACACTAAAGGGAAAGTTCTATGTTGTACCCTAAATAACGATGGTTAACTCTCAATTTTTCAATGTTACGCTGTGTTTAAAAAGGCATTATTTGTTAAGAAATTTTGTATACACTTTTACATAAATGAGTTTCTGTGTTTGGCATAGAAAATTGAAAGTTTTAAGTCACCTTAAGAAAAAATATAATACATGTTTCTTATTATACACTGTAAGTCGATAAAAAGTTGTGTTCTTGATATAAAAGTTTCGTTTATGATGTAGATATAACAGAAATCATTTTCTTTTCACTATCATCAAAAGTGGATTGCGTTTACTCTTACAAACTTGCAAGAAATATTGTCTCAAAATATTAATATTTTTGTACTGTATACTATTATAAAGGTTTGGAATGGTTCATTAAATCATTCAATGGTTATTAAAATGAAATTGTCAAGACTAGTTTTTCAGTGTGATGGATAAAAATCTAATCACTATGTATATATATATATATATATTATATACATAATTGGTCAAAAGTTTAATTTATTTTGTAGTTTTGTTATGTATGTAAAGTATAAAACAAATTATTAAAACATTTTAAATATAGGTTGTCTGGCTTTTTGTCTGTATCAATAAAACGTAGATTTGCTAATCATGTGTGATTCTGGTCTTCATTAAAGACAGTTTTTTCCCTTAACAAAATGGCTAGAGGCAGAGATCTACACATTGATGATATAATAATATGGCTGCTACTTAAACCTCGTTTCTTTAAAAACTAATTTTTCTTCTAGAAATTTAAATATACAGTCTTTAAAAAACTTCATTGAGAAAGTTTATTCATTAATGTTGTTGTTTTCGTGTTTCTTTTATGGGTGTGGTATTCATAGGCTTACTGATAACCTTCAGGTATTAATAGTTGTCGCTCTAACAACGGGTTTGGTAAAATAAGTATTGCAGAGTTAATCTGAATTGCAGACGTTCCTGAGTTGAAGGAAATACTCTGTATATAAGTTTTATTAACCCCAAAATAACACAAGACACAGACAAACGCAACTCAATCAACGTGTACAAAGAACAAGAGACAACACCACTCTCTAGCTGATGAGTTTTTCTAAATTTGGAGGAAACTGAATAAGAGTGAGAGAACTAACTAATATGTTTTGCACAATAGAGTATATTTTTCCAGGGTGTACTTGTCATCTACGCCATTCCATAAGTTAGAATTGGGAGAACATAACCATCAGATATTCGTACACCTCTACATAACTGGGGTTATTAGAGAACACAGTAGTAGACTAATGAATTCGCCAGTGACACTCTTCACGTTAAAGGTGAGCAACACCAAAAGGTGAAAGATCATGGGCAATGTGTGACAAATCAAGAATAAAGTCGGGGCATCCCATAGCCGGTATAACTGTGTCGAACTCAAGTGAATGTGACTTTTTAAAATTTTGATAACAGATATGTTCACCTTCATAAATAAATTAAATGGAAAACAAGACCTCGGCCTAGCTAATTAGTAAAACATTCGGAATGGCTAGCGCAGGTTGCACTTGTGTAGCTTTTCGTGAATATCGGAAATAAAATGTTATAAGAAAAGTTCCACTGATTTCTATAAAATATTTATCTTTAATTTATTGGCTTCGTATTGAATTGACAACGGCTTAAAACTGCACATAGTTTTTCTTTTAATGTTATTCTGTTAATCGCGAAAAGCTGGAGAAGCAACAAAACCAAAAGCGTAACACCAGAGATAAAAAATTAAATTAGACCGCAATTGTTTTCGTTTTTTGTAAGATTTCTCTTAATCAATTCATTAAGGATTTCAAACCAGTGGTGTGTAAAAATTCACTATGGGCTAATTAAGAAGAATGTGGGGAAAACAAACACTTTCAGTCTAATTTGATTTTTTTATCACGAGTGTTATACCTTTCAGCTTCATTGCTTCGGCAGCTTTCAACGTCATCGTAACATTAAATGATGTTTTGGATAGACTTTTGTCTGTGATCATGTCCAACTCTGCTAGCATGTTCTTATATTGAAAAAAGGCCTCCTGAACAGCGGTGTGTGACAGACAGAAATTAGATTAATATACAATTTTTACACGCTACTGATTTGAAACCCGTAATTAGGAAGAACGTGAAAACCAACCTCTTTAGTCCATTGCTATTTTTATTACAAATATCAAGCCCATGGTTTTGCTTTTGTGTGCTAATTCAGTCAACAGTCCACAGTGGAGTGTTGTCGACCAAAACCACACTGGGTGGGCGAGAGGAGGTTATTTGATTCCAGGAACATAATTTTCGACGTGCACTAACCATCCTCTCCAAAACCTTACAGATACAGCTAGTCAAAGCAATTGGACGATAGTTTGAAGGAATCTTGGGATCCTTCCCTGGCTTAGAGAAAGGTAGAACAATAGCCTGGCGCCAAGCAACTGGGAAAAAGTTCTCTTACAGATCCAGTTAAAAAGTACCAGAAAAATAGCAAGAGAGACAGGAGAAAGACGGCGCAGCATCTCGTAGTAGATATCATTGGGTCCAACTGATGTACTGCCAGACCGATGAAGAGCAAATTTAAGTTCCACCTGTGTGAAGGGGCAATTATAGTCGGCCAGTAAGGAAAGAGGCGATCGCTCTGCCCGAGACTTGGTGGTCAAAAAGACAGGAGAGGAAACAGAAGTGCTGGAGTAATAGGAGAAAGACTCCCCGAGAGCATCAGAGATGTCAACAACTTCTTGGCCATCTGAGAGCAGAATGGAACTGGGATGGGAAGCATACTTCCCACTGACTTTCCGAATCGTCTCCCAGACAACTTTGGAACTGAGATTCTGGATGTGAAATTAATCCAAGTTTCCTTCTGGCTTTGATGCCTGACCTGTCGAGCGTAGGCTCGGGCCCACTAATAAAGTACATGGCTAGAAAGAGAGGGATAGCATTGAGAGATATCTCAGGTCTGTTTTTGAGCCTTCTGTGCTCGTTGGCAGGCAGGATTCTACCATGAACGAGGATACTATGGAAAACGTGTCGAGGTTTTTGGAATATAATGAGCAACTGCCGCTATGATTCAGTCAGTCACTACTTCCACATAGTCATCTATAGATGGCAGACAGACGACTGCAGGATCAAGTTCAGAGAGAGAAGTGAAACAGGGCCAGTCAGCTTTGTCTAACTTCCACTGTGGCACTTTGGCATCGACCACGTCTAACCTCCCTCTAAATGATGGGAAAATATTGCTGCCCTGTGGTCACTGTCACCTTCCAAGAAAAATGAAGTAGAACAGATAGATCGATCGATAGCAGTAAAAGCTGACTGGGTGGCATAAAAGTAAAGTAAAAAGCA